CCAGTCAGGACAGGTTGGACATTTTAGAACTCACTACTCAAAGAATTAAATTTAAGCATAAGAGAGAAATAAAAATTATGAAATGCATAGACCAGTCCAAAAGCTCAAACAGCACACTTTAAAAGAAGTATCAACCGTACAAGTATGTGTTGGGAGGTGAGTGTGAAAGAGAGAGAGAGTGTGAGAGAGAGACAGAGATGTGTGTTGCCCCTTTAAGTACGCTGACGCCACTATAAGTATGCTGGCCTTTTAAGTAGATCAGCAAGTTCAGAAACAGCAGCACCTGCCAGCAAGCGCCCTCTGTCCTGAGCCCTGTCGTGTTCCCTACCCCCCCACTCTGTGGAGATGGAGTACAGGGGGTAGGGGCACCCTGACATCAGTACCTCTCTCCTCTGCTCTGCACAGGAAGCTGGAGGCTCCCGGGAGCAACTCTAAGGCAGACAGCAGGAGCAGTGTGGCAATAGGTGGAGGGACACCTGACCTGCGTGGCATTTGATAACCTGCTGGGCAGCCGCAGAGCTTACAGGGATCTTAGCCAGAGGGTGAACTGATCCTTGTCGTATGGGGGAGTATATCTGGAATACAGAACAGCATAGGAAATGTATTGCTTTGTAGACAGGAATGAAACCATCAGTCTCTTGGAGCTCAGAGCAACAAAGCTATCCCTCTGCAGGTTCCAGAGCCACCTCAAAGGCAACCACATGCAACTCAAACTGGACACCATCACAACAATGGTGTATCTCAAAACCAAGAAGGAACTTGAAACTCAACCCTACATTGGGAAGCAATAACAGTAATGAAATGGGTGGAGGAGAATCCGGTTTCTGTAAGAGCAATACACAAAGGGAGAACCACAGCAGAAGGCAGATTAGCTCAGCAGATGTGCAGCCAAAATTCAAAATGGTGTCTGAGGCAGGTAGTCCTCAACATGATCTCAGAGAAATTTGGTATTTTAGCTGTCAGTCTGCATCACAAAGACAGAATGGTGCCAAAATACTTCATTAGGGAAGAAGATCCAAGGTCAGTAGATATGGATACTCTTGTACATAGGTGGAAAAAGGGCTGCTTTCCCACGACTTCCACTTCTAAGGAAGGTAGCTCAGGAGATAAGGCAAGAGGAAGCAATGGTAATAGTTCTAGTTCTACATTGCACAAGGAGACCAGAAGGCTTATTAAAGATTGGTGTGACTGCAACTCTAGCCACTCTTTCCTAAGTGGGATCTACCGCTGGTCCTAACAGCCCTAACCAACCAACCCCTTGAACAGCTGTTACGCTATTCTTTCAAAACCTGCTTCTTGGTCACTAACATGTCTGCTAGATGAGTAAATTAGCAGCCCTATCCATGCAGGAACCATACGGTGTATTCCACAAGAACATGGTTCTAAGGAGTCCAGACTCTTTTACCAACAGTTTAATCCTCTTTCTGTGCTTTGGAGAAAGTGATCTTCCCATCATTCTTTCCAAGTCCACAGCATCCTACTGAAAAAACTGTAGCATAATCTGGATTTATGTAGCGCACTAAAGATCTGCCTCGAGCAAAGATCTGCCTCAACAAGATCAGGTTCATCCGTGTTTGTGTCCTTTCACCCGAAGTATCAAGATCTTTGGGCATCCAAACTAACACTGGCCAGATAGATTAAGTTATGCATTGTAGAGGTGCATACAAAAACCTGGATTTGTGCTGGAAATGGCCCACCTGTTGATCACTTTAGATAAGCTATTACCAGCAGGACAGTGGGGTGGGAGGAGGTATTGTTTCATATTCTCTGTGTGTATATAAAGTCTGCTGCAGTTTCCACGGTATACATCTGATGAAGTGAGCTGTAGCTCACGAAAGCTCATGCTCAAATAAATTGGTTAGTCTCTAAGGTGCCACAAGTACTCCTTTTCTTTTTGTGAATACAGACTAACACGGCTGTTCCTCTGAAAACTTTCTATTCAGGCACTTATTTTCAACAAAAGATTTCTCAGTTTCAGTCTATTCTTTATCCTTCCTGGCTTAATGTTTACTGCTCACTACTTCCCATAGAACACAAAATTATATGGAACAATGGGCTGCAGAAGGCACATAGGGCACATGTGCACTTCAAGTGGAGTAGCTGTAGGGATACTACTCATTGTATGAGAAATTTCTTATCCAGTAGTTTCATTTCTGCTAGCAGCATCTCCCACAATTCTACCCTCCTTTGTATGACATTTAATTTGTCTACAGGTTGTGGGCTAGTTAGACTACTGAACATAGTTCACCGGCTGGCATTAAGGTTATCACTCATTATGTTTAAATTTCTACACAGCTTTGGAATGAATCTTCGGGCAGCAAGCCAGAGATGTGAGCATGGCCAGCAGAAGGCTATGCTGTAACACTGAACTACCTCCAGAACCCCAGAAAGGAGGGGAATATCCCATACAATCACAGAATTGTGGGAGATGCGGTTAGCAGAAAGGAAGTTATCCCCGTAAGAAATTTGTCTTTCCATACCCATTGAAGACAGGAACAAGTAAAGGCAGCTGAATACCCAATAGTATCCAAGAGTTAGTGAAGGATAATGCTGCATATTTGCAAACATTCTTGGAGACGGAAGGAAGAGAATTTGGAGGGGTGACAGTAAGTGGCATACACTTCTGCAGTAGGGAAGCAAACTTGTGAACACAAGTGCTAACAAAAAGGGATAAGCAGCAACAGGCAAGGAAAAGATGAAACGAGGAGCCTGCTGCTACTAAGCAAAGCTGCTGACTCATGGCATTGCTCAGATCAAATATTCCGAAAAGGCCAAGGGTTTTGCCACCTACTTAAGTCAACCTGTGGCTCTGGTCTACTCTTCTCTACTTATGATTCTTCCTAATGGCAAAAAAATATGGCTATTGCTTTATGCTTAAAAAAGCTGTTTCTTTCCCATATACAAAACCACTGCCACTTAGCACCAGTAGTTTTCCACATACTTGAAGTCATAAGTCACCTCCCTCTCTCCATTCTACTGCCTTAGTTCATTTTTTCAAAACTTCCTCATAAATTCAAATAGTCAGAGAATACTGAAAAGGGACCACTACCATTTGACTCAACTTGTGCACAGTCTGTTGTATTAGATAATTTATAACTAGCATTATACTCTTCAACACCATGACCTGTGCAGCTCATTGTAAGTTGAAGCATCAAAATTAGGGCTGTCGATTAATCACAGTTAACTCATGCAATTAACTCAAAAAATGCATCGCAATTAAAAAATTAATGACAATTAATCAGTTTTAATTGCACTATTAATAGAATACCAATTGAAATTTATTAAATATTTTTGGATGGGGGTTTTTTACGTTTCAAATATATTGATTTCAATTACAACACAAAGTGTTGTACAAAGTGTACAGTGCTCACTTTATATTTTTATTACAAATATTTATACTGTAAAATGATAAACAAATGAAATTTTTCAGTTCACCTCCTACAAGTACTGTAGTGCAATCTTTTTCTTGTGAAAGTGAAACTTACAAATGTAGATTTTTTTTTGTTACCTAACTGCACTCAAAAATTAAACAATATAAAACTTTAGAGCCTACAAGGCCACTCAGTCCTACTTCTTGTTCAGCCAATTGCTAAGACAAACAAGTTTGTTTACATTTAAGGGAGATAATGCTGCCCGCTTATTTAGAATGTTACCAGAAAGTGAGAACAGGTAGTTCACATGACACTTTTGTAGCCGGCATTGCAAATTATTTACCTACCAGATATGCTAAACATTCGTATGTGCCTTCATGCTTCAGCCACTATTCCAGAGGACATGCTTCCAGGCTGATGACGCTCGTTAAAAAAAAAAAAAAAATGCATTAATTAAATTTATGACTGAGCTCCTTGGGGGAGAACTGTATGTCTCCTCCTCTGTTTTGCCCCCACTCTGCCATATATTTCATGTTACAGCAATCTTGTATGAGAACACTTTGTTCATTTTAAGAACACTTTTACTGCAGATTTGACAAAACGCAGAGAAGGTACCAATGTGAGATTTCTGAAGACAGCTACAGTACTCGACCCAAGAGTTTAAGAATCTGAAGTGCCTTCCAAAATCTGAGTGCAACGAGGTATGCAGCATACTTTCAGATATCTTGAAAGTACAACACTCTGATGCAGAAACTGCACAACCTGAACCACCAAAATGGAAAATCAACCTTCTGCTGGTGGCATCTGACTCAGATGATGAAAATGAACATGCGTCGGGCTGCAATACTCTGGATCGTTATCGAGCAGAACCAGTCATCAGCATGGACGCATGTCCTCTGGAATGGTGGTTGAAGCATGAAGAGACATATGAATCTTTAGCGCATCTGGCACATAAATATCTTCCACTGCTGGCTACAACAGTGTTATGCACGGCTGTTCTCATGTTTAGGTGACATTGTAAAGAAGCGGGCAGCATATCTCCTGCAAATATAAACAAACTTGCTTGAGCGATTGTCTGAACAAGAAGTAGGACTTGAAGGCTCTAAAATTTTATATTGTTTTGGTTTTTAATAGTTTTTTTTGTACATAACTCTACACTTGTAATTCAACTTCAATGATCGAGATTGCACTATAGTACTTGTATAAGGTAAATTGAAAAATACTATTCTTTTGTTTTTTACTGTGTAAATATCTGTAATAAAAATAAATATAAAGAGCACTGTACGCTTTGTAGTCTGTTGTAATTGAAATCAGCATATTTGAAAATGTAGAAAACATACAAAAATATTTAAATAAATTGTATTCTATATTGTTTAATAGCACAATTAATCTTTTTAATCACGCATTAATTGCAATTTTTTTAATTGCGCAATTAATCAGGATTAATTTTTTTAATCGCTTCACCACCCTAATCAAAATCAAAATCAGTACCTTCAACACCAGACTTACATCACAATAAAATCAGCTTTAGTCCAAGTTGTTTCCTGCCCCACTTGAAAGAAGAGAAGTATCTTAATGTCCTTAGTCTGGCATGATATTAAAAACAAAACTATTCAAAACAATCTAGGGTGTGAGGGAGAAACAATCAGTCTTTATTACATTAAATCGCTTAAAATTATACAATAATTTTCAATATAAAAAACCCTTGTTAAAACAATATAAATTGTTTTCTTTAAATGTAAACAGTGACCATTTTGTGCAATATGTGCCAACTGATGAATTAAGTAAAACTAGATAAATGTGATGGTCAAAAGGGCACTGTAGTTCATTAGTACAGTAGGTTTTCTAAACATAATTAAAAATGTTTTTCTTAAGTCAAAATAAATAGTTGGTTGCTTCTTGGCACACTCTATTTGGAGAGAGAAAAGAGGATAGACAATACATACAAAAACTTTTATACAATTCACTATTTTCACATTCATCCAGTTGTGCTATTCATTTTTTGCCTTACCTATGAAAAAGCTTATTTTACACAGGGAACAATTAAACAATTTTAGTGATTACTTTATTATTTGTGACTAATTTGAAAACTCTGATCATTGAACATGCAGCTCTGAAGAATCCAACTAAAATTTAATTTTAAAATGATAAACCACATTTAATCTCACATTTCAACCAGAAGAGTCCAGAAGTTCCACTGATACTACAGGGATCATTTTCATTACTGGTACAGGGCAAATTCTTTGGAAAAAAATGTATTGTCTTAGAAATACTTGTACTGGTCTACCAATGTGCTTCTAGCATAATCAGCTCACAAGATCCAACCTTACATTCACATAAAATTCTGATTACCATATTGCTTTCCCTCTTCTTCCCCCCACCTTACATTGGCATAATATTAGCATCCATTATATATTGGTTATCATAAAAATATAAAACCCCAAACATTCCTTATTACCCTCTGGAAGTCTGAAATCCTTGCTTTCAAATGGCATAAAGCATTAAATTATCTGTTTTGCTAGATAGTGGCTACTAAAATCATGCCAATACAAGCAGGAAGCAGAAATGGGGAAACAATGTTGTTTTAAATTTCTGATCTCATGACATGCCAGAGAACAGAATGCTTTGCACACCATTAGAAAGCAGCATGTTCAGCTTCTAATGGTATAAAGATATTTTTATAACCCTGATGGTTTGTGAGATCACACCTAAGTATACAGTTCAGGACATAAATGCACTGTAAATTTTTAATCCCTGTATTATTCAAGTGGACCTAAGACACAATACAGAAACGTAGTGCCAAACCTAGTTGATAGTTATATCTCCTATTTCAAGGGTTTATCATCACAATTAAATAATGAAGTGTGACTTATCCTCCTTGGCATAGAGACTATGGCAGGGACCAACCTTTATTTATGCCAAGAACCTTAAACTGACAGGTAAAGAAGGACAAAGTTTAAAAATGTAAAAAAACCAACCAAACAAAAAAAGCACCTCAGAAAAGTATGTTAATTTGTTGATTACACATTTTAAATGAATCACAAATTTCGATTTTTTTTTACAATACTTAAGTTTGAAGAAACAGAAAATTAATAATATTTTATTAGTGATATAGAAGTCTCCCTGTTAATTTCAATGTACATTTTCTCCAGAGTGGTCATTGCTGAGGTAAGGATAACAAACATACAGAGGTTTGTGATTTGACAAAATTTCACAAGCTATTTTGCCTTTCAAGTAACAATTCAGATGACTTGTTTTTTAAGTGCCATACAAATCGTTCTCACATTTTATCTTCAAAAAGTGTTCAAAATGTAGTTCAAAATGCAATTGAGACACAACTGATTCCATTTGCAAAAGTCATATGTGCCAAAGGCTACTTGTCAGTCTTGGTCTAATCACTTGGATAGAGGCATTTCTTCAGGTTATTGCATAGAATGACAGGCAGACTCTCCATCCAATATCTTGGGACTGTTTGTCCTTACTATAATAGAAAAAGAAAAAAAAGCTTAACTGAAAGAATTTGATAGTGGGACAAACGTGCATTCTAAAGCTTCTAAGATTAGGTTATCCACAAAGGTAGAGTGCCAAGTTCCAATATCTTTGTCTCCAAGAGCCAGGCTGGTGAGTAATTCAATGTATTGTTTCTTCAGGTTTTTAAGTCCAATGGTTTTTGTAAACTTGGCTAGTCAAAATTGACATGTTATCTTTGCCAGTTTGCACCACTAACTTAAACAAATCCAACAATAGCAAAATTAAGGATATATAATATAGTGTTTTTCTATTGAATATCTATTTTCAATGTTGTCAAATCATTCCGGAAGCTTTGCTAGAACAAAAAAAAAAAAATAAAATTGAGAAATATTCTCTCATCGAGTCCCTCCACATTCTCTCATTTAGGATTTGCCCTTACAGTGATGGCCACTGTTTATTTTCCTGAATCATCAGACTTTTCTTAGTCAGTCTTGAATTTTTCCCCCGATACAGTATGACTACAGCAACTTTTTGTATAGCATCTTTCATGCAAACTGTATCCCCAACTGCTTTTCAGCGTTAAATTACAAAACACAAAGTAGAGGCAAAATAGAAGAGAATTGAGGCAGATATGGGAAGACTGTTGCAAATATCAGAAACTGTAAAGGAGGTACCAGCAATGTAGATATTATATAGAGGGCCACAGGTCAGTGGTTGTAAGCAAATGGTGTAAGAAAATATCTGAGTGATTAGGGCAAGTCCATGGGAAGTTTTTAAAAACAAACTTCTCTTCGTATTGAAATTGATAAGGAGCTAGTTGAGTTGATTGAGATGGAGATGATTTATTCCTTAGAACAGACAGGAAGTTATTCTGCAAATACGATAGTCCACAGAGGTGGGATTTGGGAATTACCACTGAAAAAGGAAGCTGAAAAAGTGAAATCCTAGCTAAGATGTCAGTGTATATGGAAGTGAGAATATGAACAATATTGCAGAGAGGTTGACAAGCCAATCTATGAACCTAGGAAAATGTGAGAAGAGGAGCAAGAAAATTAAGATCACAAGTTATATTCGGAGGACAGTGAAGGAAAGTGGAATAGATGAAGAGGAAGTTGGTAAAAAAGAATGAATATGGGAAAAGATCCTTGTGGAACTCCATAAAGGAGAAGCCTTTGTGTAGAGGAAGTATCAACAGGGAAAGAAAACTATCAGATACAGGCAAGAATGCAACTAGACACCTGCACAGCTATTGAAGTTGGGCAGGAGAATGGGGTAGTTCAGTTTCAAATACTCAGCAGATTTCAAGGAGAAAGAAGAGGGAGAGAGCACCAGCAACAATAGAAAAGACATAGTTAACTAGGAAGAAAGGAGTGGCTTCTATACAGTGGCCAAAAATAAAACTAATATTTTCATACTGAAACTCCAAGATACTATTCTGCTAAAAAGTGTTTAAGCAATGAGGTTAGAAACTGAAGATAAAAATTGGTCACTGTGTACTCTCAAGAACTGATAAAAGTAAAAGGAGTGGTTGACAATTGTCCACTAGAGTGGGCAGATGACAAGCAAGGGCAGGGGATAAGGAGGTAAAGTTTTTGGTAAAGAACTAGGTATCAAACAAGTCCCAGAGGAGTCCCTCACTGCCACTTCTGTGCTTAAATCCATCGGACCACACTCAAAAGAGAAGTTTTCTTTTGCACATTCAGGAAAAGATTATGAGGGAAGTGTGAGCTAGTTATGGAGTGCACAATGAATAAATAAGGATTACCAATACTGTAGTTATGGAAATAGAACTATACTGTGTGCTTCACACCACCATCTGGCAATTTCACAGCAGATATTTTGATGTAACATGAACTCCCCTCCCCCTCCGCCCCGTCCGTGAGATGTTAACTAAGCATTTGAGGGCCCATGTCTGGAAGAAATATTGGTGGATGAAAACTAGAGGTGCTGATCAGGGCAAACTTGTTCATGGGCAATGTCTAGGTTACATGTATACTAAATGGCTGTGTTGCAAAATCTAATCTACTTTTTGCTTTATTTAGAGAACAGTGAATTTACAGAGACTGTAGAACATAATATCCCCAGAATATCTTCCAATAGCTCAAACTGGTTTCTTGTGAATTAGGGATGTCAAGCTATTAAAAAAATTAATCACGATTAATCACACTGTTAAATAATAGAATACCATTTATTTAAATATTTTTGGATGTTTCTACATTTTCAAATATATTGATTTCAATTACAACACAGAATGCAAAGTGTACAGTGCTCACTTTATATTTATTTTTGATTACAAGTATTTGCTCTGTAAAAAAACAAAAGAAACAGTATTTTTCAATTCACCTCATACAAGTACTGTAGTGTAATCTCTTTATCATGAAAGTTGAACTTACACATGTAGAATTACATACAGAAAATAACTGCATTCAAAAATAAAACAGTGTAAAACTTTAGAGCCTGCAAGTCCACTCAGTCTTACTTCTTGTTTAGCCAATCACTCAGACAAACAAATTTGTTTACACTTGCAGGAGATAATGCTGCCCGCTTCTTGTTTACAATGTCACCTGAAAATGAGAAAAGGCGTTCTCATGGCACTGTTGTAGCCGGTGTGGCAAGATATTTATGTGCCAGATGTGCTACAGATTCATATGTCCCTTCATGCTTCAACCACCATTCCAGCGGATATACGTCTATGCTGATGGCAGGTTGTGATCGATAATGATCTGAAGCAGTGCAAACCGATGCATGTTCATTTTCATTATCTGAGTCAGTTTCCTCATCGGAGTGTTTGCTCTTTTAACACTTTTGAAAGCATGCTCCACACCTCATCCCTCTCAGATTTTGGAAGGCACTTCAGATTCTTAAACCTTGGGTCGAGTGCTGAAGCTATCTTTCGAAATCTCACATTGGTACCTTCTTTGTGTTTTGTCAAATTTGCAGAGAAAGTGTTCTTAAAATGAACAACATGTGCTGGGTCATCATCCGAGACTGCTATAACACGAAATATATGGCAGAATGTGGGTAAAACAAAGCAGGGGACATAAAATTCTCCCCCAAGGAGTTCAGTCACAAATTTAATTCATGCATTATTCTTTTAACAAGCATCATCAGCATGTCCTCTGGAATGGTGGCCAAAGCATGAAGGTGCATACGAATGTTTAGCGTATCTGGCATGTAAATACCTTACAATGCCGGCTACAGAAGTGCTATGCAAATGCTTGTTTTCACTTTCTGTTGACACTGTAAATATGAAGTGGGCAGCACTATCTCCTGTAAATGTAAACAAACTTGTTTGTCTTAGTGATTGGCTGCACAAGAAGTAGGACTGAGTGGACTTGTAGGCTCTGAAGTTTTACATTTTTTTGTTTTTGAGTGCAGTTATGTAACAAAAAAATTCTACATTTGTAAATTGCACTTTCACGACTCAGATTGCACTACAGTACTTACATGACGTGAACTGAAAAATAGTATTTATTGTGTTTATCTTTCACAGTGCAAATAATTGTAATCAAGAATAATAAACACTTTAATTTCAATTACAACACAGAATACAATATGTATATAAAAATGTAGAAAAACATTCAAAATATTTAATAAATTTATATTGGTATTCTATTGTTTAAACAGTGCGATTAATCATGATTAATTTTTTTTGAGTTAATTGCATGAATTAACTGCGATTAATTAAGAGCCCTAATGTGAATGTTGTCCAGTGTCCAAACATGGAAACATTAGATTAAGAAACTGCTAAATATTCACCCATTCTAAGGTTGCTAAAATGTAGAGTGTATTTCTATTGAAGCTGGTACAGCTAAGATTTGGGAACAATTTGACACCTCTAGAAACCTGCCACTAGTGTTCACAGAAACAGCTCAAAAGAAAAAATGCTATCAATTTTTGTTTCAAGTCCAGCTCACAGCCTCCCTAATTTTCCATGTCCAGTGGATGTGGGTTAGGAGAACCTGTATAGATTGCTGCTTCCCAGCTCCCTATAATACATATGAAACAAGCAAGGCAGCAGTTTGGTCTGCTCCCTGAACTCAGTTGTAGTATTACTGTGTTCATCATTCTTCAGGTCCTACAAGATAAATTATTAACAGGTACCAGCCAATAGCATTTTAAGTTCTCCATAAAAATCCACATACCATTTTTGTGTAATCCCTGAATCTGATGTTCGTTGGTATGTTTCCAAGTAGAAAAGTTGCAAGTTGCATTTTGGCTGAATAATGTATTGTATGTTTTTACTTTATGGAAACATGGTTGAATCTCTGGAGACTTTGCCCTCAACAGCTGATTGTCTTTATGGTTTAAAACAGGAAACTCCTAGGTTTGTAAACAAATTTCTTTTATTATCATTCTTTCAAAAATTCTCATTTCAATAAGTTAACAATTCAGACCTCACTTCATTTGAATCAGTCCCTGCTATAACGGGTGCTGATCTCAGGATATTACAGAAACAAGGTGGTTGAGGCAATATCTTTTATTGGACCAACTTCTGATGATGAAAGAGAGCTTACACATGCTGTAGAAGAACTCTGTGCAAGCTAGAAAGCTTGTCTCTTTCACCACCAGAAGTTGGTCCAATAAAATACATTATCTCAACCATCTTGTCTCCTTGTTATAAAGAATCATTTTGGTGGTTAAGTAACTGGAAGTTTCAGATCACCAGTATAAAACAGTTTTATCTTCATCCCTTCCTGAAAATTAAAACAGAAATAAAAAACACCTATTTCCCCTATAGTAACTATGGTTCTTAGAGGTGTTGTCAACTTCTGGTGCACATGCACCCTGTGTGAGTGAGATTGGATGCTTTTGGCCTGCAGTGTCCATTGGGGGAGAGGCATGCCCTGATCGCTCGTGTGTGTCATCATTTCCCCCTCCCCGCAAGGGCATAAAGGGCAGAGCAGAGCCAGCTGCTCCTCAGTTCCTGCACAAATACAGATTTGGGGTAAAAGGGGACTCTGTAGTAGTGGGGAAGGAAGACAGGTCATGGAATACACATAGACAATATCTCAAAGTTACCATTCGCTTTCATGTGATTCTCCATACATATTTCTCTGCTGATGATTCTCAAGATTTGACCTGATGTATAGAATGTACTTGCTCAATAGCTACTCAAATATCAACTGCAGGACCGCTCTGCCAAAACGGGTATTAGATCCCGATGCCTCAACTGGGGAATAATGTCATGTAAATATATGACCAGATCCCCAGGTCACTGAAGACCTTCAGATTTCAGAGATGGTTACACTTTTCAAGAAAGCCATAGGATTTACCTCAGCTCTAGTGGAGTGAGCCCTAACCTGCACTGAGGATCTAATTTGCCTAGCTCATAAAACCCTAAAGTAAGTAGACACCCACTTAGATAGCCTCTGGGAAGATGCCTGACCTTTCATCCAACCTGCAAAAGCTACAATTAGTCAAAAGAAAACTAAACGTTTTGGTCCTATCCAGATAAAATAACAGAGGCTTAAGCACATCCAGGGTATGCAAATTTGGCTTCCTCTTGGTGGGAGTGGAGTTTAGGGAAGAGCACAGATACATGACTCATTTGATTCAAATGCAAGTCTGAGACTACCTTGGGTAAAAATGTAGTGTGGGGCCTAAGGGTGACCTTCTCCTTATGGACTACAGCATCTGATGGGCCAGAATTAAGCGCTTGTATTTTTCCTATTTTCCACGCTGATATAATTGCCACTAAAAAGGCCATTTTCAAGGACAAATGATATTAGGAGCTCAAAGGGAGTTGCCATCAACCCAGCTAGGACTGCACAGAGATCCTAGGGGGGAAGTGACTGATTGGGGAAAAACATGAATGAGACCCGTAAGCCTAGCTACCACAAGATGGGAGAAAATGGTGTTGCCCTGCATGGAGGAGATGGTCAGCTGATTCTCTGCCATAGAGCTAATGGACACTCCTTTTTTTTTTAAAAAAAATCTTAATAGATATGCAGATTCCAGCTATTCTGGACTCTGCATATCTAGAGGAAATATGCTATTGACCCCACTTTTGAAATGTTACAGATAAAGGATCCTGAGTGTCCATTTGTGGTCTTCTAAGAATTGCCTTATTAGGTGGCAGTTCCCTGGGGACAACTCCAACAATGTCCTTGGTGCCAAGATCATCAGTCCTGAGAGAGTAAACATCAGTACCATAGATTTGGTATTGGGCATGGCTTGAATCTTTTCATAGGCCAGTACCATTGGTCATGTACCATGTTCTCCAGGGTGTCATCAGGACTCATTCTGGGCTGAGCCACCCTTTGAGGGAGTGAAGTGAGAGTTTTGCTTCTTCCAGCTAGGCCCTTCCCAGAGGCAAAAAAGGCACCTTGAGTGACCATTGTTAAAGAACACAGCTGTCTCACATGAAGGGCAGTTCTTGAAGCCAGGAGACTTTATGTATGTCTACACCTTGAGCTGGTTGTGTGATTCCCAGCTTGCATAGACATACTTGGGCTAGCTCTTATCAACCTACCACACAAAACAGTAATATAGCCAGGGTGGCACAGACGGTAGCAGTGGCACAGGCTAGCCATGCCAAATACAAACCCATCTGAATCCTGTGCATACATATTCAGCACAGTTAACCTATGCTGCCACTTGCTGCTTCCCATGCTTCACTACTCTCTTTAGCATGCTAGCTACACAAACTGGGAATCACACCCTCAGCTCCAAGTGTAGATAGAACCTTTGGTTCAGACAGAGGAAAAAATTCCTAACACTAACAGAAGCTTGGGGGTGTTTTTGCCAACAGATGTACCAACCCTGTACACACTAACAGTAACTAATTTAACACCTAACTAACAATACAAAGATATGTTTATTTGCTTCATAAAGCACATAGTGATGCAGACACTGCAGGGTTCTGTCTCACAGCCATGGATGGTAAGAAAGAACTGAAGGGCAGTCGGACCCATTCTGACCTCGGGTGGGGATGTCTGAGGGCATTCAAGCTGCAGACACAGCCCCAACAGACACTGCTGTGCAATATAATCTGATTTCATGCACACAGGGCATAGGTGTACCAAGAGTGGAATACATACAAACATTTGAAGAACTGAATAATTCCCCTTTGTTTTAGTCTAATATATCCCCTTTCACTATTCTCAGAAACTGTATTATGTGTTTGTTGCTTTCCCTTGCCTCTGTACAATGAGATCACAAGTGGAAGTAGAGATCTCAAGTTGAAAAATTCTCTTAAAGACATTCCTCAGCATACTGAATCAAGTCAACACCATGGAACTTTTAAGATACCCAGGGACGGCACGTTGTCCATTTGTAGTCTCACCAATGTTTTTGCAAAGAACACTGGGCCAAGTTCTCCCCGAGCCCCCAGTGCCTTTTACTCCTGATGGAATTCTGCACGCCTGCACAGGCAGGGAATTGTTATGGTGATCAGATATCTATCCCTCCATGCAGAAAAAAGAAGAAGAAATCTGCTGGGGACGCGTGCCTCTTCCTGGACAGCCTAGGCGGCGCATCTGTTCCAGCACACCTGGAGCAGCCATCAGAGACGCAAATCACTGCGGGGGCGGGACGTACGCACCTGCCTGGGAGACATTAATCACCGTCGGGGGTGGAGTGGACTGGGCGTGCATGTGTGTGAACAAGCCAGAGAGACTTGCAACAGAGTGGCTTGCCGGGCATGGGGGACTTGGGGTTGTTAGGCATGAGACAGGCTCTGTCCCCCGAGGCAGAAATGTAGTAGCCTGCCTGCCTATGTTCCTTCACTGCAAGGAAGCAAGCAGCTGTTTTGCCAGAGTTAGAAATGCAATCAGCCAGTGCTATCCCTTAAACTGCATGGAGGCTCATTTTATAACAGGGATTGGATTGAAACAAAATTCAGTCAGTTTTTGCTTGAGATGGGATAAGGTGTGGAAGAATAAGAGTCTGCTCTGTGCATTCCTACAAAACTGTTTCAATGTTTGAAATAAAAGATTGTTCTAAATGTGAAAATAACACATTGTTAATGTTGCTATTGATCGTTAATTGATCTCATTCTCTGAGACAAAAATGTAGCAGCCTGCCTGAATAGTAACATTGTTAAATGTTCCTATTGTTAACTAACTGTTCCCATTCTCAGCCAATTCCCCCCAGAAGCATAAAACACGGAAAAGTTTTAAGGCTCCTTTACATTGCTAGAGTGATGTAAAGGAGCCTTATTATAAAGGACCATAAGGGAATCCTCAGCTAGGAGATCTATGTGCTTTCTCACTTTTTTTCCTGTGCCAAAGTGGCCCAATGGAGTTAGATTACAGATCAGGATTTATTTTACTTACCCATTAAAAAACAGCAACAACAAAAAATAAAAGACTGAGGGCAAATAAAACATTTATCAAGAAGTCACTAAAATGTCAGGACAATCAGAACCAAGCACTTCCCAAAATACCCAGCCCGGTCCAGATGAAGTTACTAAAGGGCAAAAGGGATATATTTGTTCTTTTGCATGACATCAAAAACGGCTACACCAGGTTCTCATGCTCGAGAATTCCCTACAAAACTGCATGTAGACAGGGACAAATTATTTTGCACATCCTGCAACGTTGTTCTCATCCATGACTGATGGTCTGTAATTGTGGATCATTTTGCATTTAAAAAACAAAAAAAACCCACATTATTTTGACAAATAACATATGCAGAATTTTTAATTTTTTGGCACAGAATTCCCCCAGGAATAGCCTTTGCTGTCATCAGAACACGTGAATTTTAAAATTAGGATTTTCAGTATATTTTTCTTTATTTTACAGATCCATGTGTTTAATCTAATACTTGACACTATGACCAAATAAATTTGCTGTCTACAAGTTCCCACAAGTTCTTAGAAACAATCTGTCAAATCCCTGACCTAGCAGGGAGTGGTGTGAAGGAATGGATATTGAAAATGGAAAAACATATTCTACAGACTAACAAATTTATTTGAGCATAAACTGTAGTTCACGAAAGATTATGATCAAATAAATTTGTTAGTCTCTGAAGTGCCACAAGTACTCCTTTTCTTTTTGTAAATAGACTAACACGGCTGCTACTCTGAAACATATCATTCTATGCATTTCCTACCTTAGTTCTGGAAAGCTGAGATTTGTTCTGAGCCTCATAAGAATGTACATTATTGTCTCTGCAATTGTTCTCAGCCCCAACTGTATCCATAATGCTGCTTCCACATGTCTGTGTATTATACCCACTGTCCACCTAGGAACAAAAGCCAGGAATTAATATCCTATGTACTCAGTTCCAGATAAGCTCCCCTATTTCTTGTGCATTACTTATTTTAATTTACATTTGTATTGCCCCTACTTCATAATCCTTTCATATTGTATTTATAAACTTAATCTATCATACAAGCTATACATATCACTGATTAAAATATGAACCATTGAAATACAGCCACATCTAAAGGTGATATCTGGCAACTGTTTAACAATGCATGCTTAGAGTCACTTCTGTCCTAAACTATTATCTGATTGAAACTTCAGGGAAAGTTAAATAGGCAAATTGGAAATACTTGTGAGTACAAGTACATGCCCGTTGGACATTTAATGGTCACAACTCAGAACTTTTCAAATATTAAGGTGTCAGCATCTTCAGCAGGACAGTTCCTACTACTATCATCATTGTTTCTTCACTACCTTCAAAAACCAGGACTTCTTTGGAGACCTCCTATACAAGGTGATATGGCTAGATGTGTGTGGCTTGCATATTTTACAAGATAATACAATTGCAGGCTTAAATAAAATTGACAATCTATTTGTGACTTAAAAAGCAAAAGGCGGCTGCATTATGTAATAACTTAGTTAACTGCAGCAGATTCATTAGAAACAAGAGGAGATAGTAAATTGGTCAACCAGAATCCAAGTAGTTTGGGATTAATACACATTTACTACTGTGGTAGCATAAGAAATATTTCCTTGAATTGCTGTGTTGCCAGTCAAATAGAACAAGCTTTAAGTCACACAATTCAGTGTTTACACCCCATCAGATAAGAGCTGACAGAAAGTATATCCAGAATTGTAGAGGGACAAATGTGAAAACTGAGAGATTAAACTTGGGGTATAATTTACTAAATTATTTAAATAAAACAAAAACCCTTACCTGAATACTACTGCTGTCACAAGGAATTACACTGCTTTCCGCAAGAGGTGATATGCACATGTGAGAGCTTTCAATACTGAAAGTAATTCCTGTCATGAAGCTGGTCATTGGCATACTGCTATTACCAACACATTCCTTAACCCAAGTGTTCTCATCTGACACCTCAACTGTATCAACCATATCAACAGTATTATTTTCTTTTAAACCTTCTATATCCTGCAATGATGCCAGTCCTTGTTCACAAGCTTCAGAGTGATCTGGTGAAATAGATACAGTTGCCACAACTAGATGTGTACCGTGTGCAAAAGTATCACCATCCTGCTGCTGTAAATTTACTCCAGTGTCCATCTGTGGTAACAGAACTTCTGCAGGTAGGGCATTCTCTTTGTCTTCTGCCTCTTCGTTGTGATTTTCAAGGGTAAATGGTATCCTAATAAGGGAAGTTTGATATTGTGCAGTCCCTCTGCATGCTCCAAGTCTCATAGGAGAGCAATTTTTAATTGGAGAACAGCCATCTATATAAGGACTTCTAGTACTTGGGGGTGTCATTCTGTTTGAGACTGGTGCAGACGGAACATCCGGAGAACGAAAAGTCAACTTTCTTTGTTCTGTCCATAGTAAAAACAGAATAATTCAATTCATTAGATATCAGATGGAGGAAAAGCTAACAGTCTGAATCCTAGGACCAGAAGTCACTAGAACAACTACAGCCACACTAAGCGGTGATTCTCTTGAGTATCATCTCCTAGCACTAAAGGCATTTGATACAACTATTTTTAAAAGTTATACTTGTTACACACACGTTTAGCCATCATACTTTCAAATTTTAATCCTGCTTACCTAAAGCTTTCATTTCTCTGAAAGGTCTACTACTGCAGAGACCAGGTCAGGGATCGGCAATCTTTGGCACACAGCCCGCCAAGATAAGCCCCCTTGCGAGCCGGTTTGTTTACTTGCCACGTCCGCAGGTTCGGCCGAGCGCAGCTCCCTCTGGCTGCGGTTCGCAGATCCAGGCCAAGGGATGTGCTGGCTGCCGCTTCCCGCAGCCCCCATTGGCCTGGATCGGCGAACCGCAGCCAAAGGGAGCTGCGCTCGGCCGAACCTGCGGACGCGGCAAGTAAACAAACCGGCTCGCAAGGGGGCTTATCTTGGCGGGCTGTGTGCCAAAGATTGCCAATCCCTGACCTGGCAATCCCTGGCTTCCCGCAGCCCCCATCGGCCTGGAGTGGCGAACCATGGCTAGCATGAGCTGCGATCAGCCGAACCTGTGGACGCGGCAGGTAAACAAAACAGCCTAGCCCACCAGGGGTCTTACCCTGGCGGGCCCCCGCGTCCCAAAGGTTGCCGATCCCTGGATCAGGTTTTCAAATGGCAGTACCAAATTGTGTCAAAATGAACAGTCCCTTACCTCAAAATGCTTCCAGTCCAATAACCTAAAATCCATACTAGGCAAGTACTGTAGATTTCTTAGAACACATTAGTTAGGGTGAAAATTATCAGAACTTTATACAATCAGGTATAAAGTGGAAAGTAGCTATTCAGACTTTATACATAACTTTGCAGAAGTATCTCATAGCAGGTTCTGACTGAATCAGCTATGCAAACAGACTAAGATTTTACAGAACACAGACTACCAATACTGCCAAATTGCAACAAATTATGGAGTCTGATATGGATAAGCATCCACTAGGTTTCTAAACTAGTGAATTCATTTAATCTCAGCTTAATCTAGTTATGGGGATCAGGGCTCAAATGTAAGACACTAACCCTATCAAAATAGTTTTTCCTACAACAATTCTGACTGCTCATCTTATTTTTGATACGTAACTTCAAACAAAACCCTTCTCCTCAGATCATATTGCTCCCCTTTACTTTATTTCATACTATGAGTTTTCATGATTCCTTTTTCCACTTTTTCCCACTAAAAAATTTATTTTTTTGCACTTTCTAAGTAATTCTGTTCAGGTAAACATTTTATACATTTACATTGATGACACTTTACTGTTCAACATGCCACGTGCCATACTAGATGAGACCACTGGACTATCAAGCCAAGTACCTGCCTCTAGATGGATCGTTTTTTCATCACAAGAAATACAAGCTGCATGAAAGGAGACTATATAAAGTCAAACCATACCTGACAATGGTGTCTTCCTTATCTGAAAAGCAATTGGAGAAAAAGTAGGGGAAGCAATATTTGCAGGGGACCTCTCTGGAAACGTGGGACTGGTAATGCTTCCCAGACTGTATGCCCTTGTACCTCCCTGAATAGGACTGGAGGAAAACTGACCCTTTAATACAAAGAGTAAGAATTAGCTTTTACATAATATAAATTTATAGACTGATGTACAAATTTGTAGACTTGAAAGTAGTGCTACTGGGAAAATAATTCTATTCCTGCTTCACTGACACTCTCAATCAAGCATTTCACTGCTGCAATATTCCATTTGAAATTCTCCAGTTGGATTTTATGATGCCTCATAGGAAATCCAATGCTTCCAAAGAGGAGTACTAATTAAGACTATGTTATCAATCATATTAGAACTAACAGGAGCCAGACTACTGTATAAGGATTTTCCTAATCAACAGCCAAATTACTGTTTAGTATTTGTATTATTGTTATGCCTACAACATTTCATCTCCCAAATGGCAGACACCCCAAAGCAGAATGGAATGTTGCCCCCAATGCAGTGACAGATTGAGTAGACTGCACACTGACACCACTGGATATTTTAACAGAATCCACACTATCTGAAGGACATAACTTTGAAGTCAACCAAAACAGACCTTTCATCTGAAAGAGTCAGAAGAAGCTGTGCTCTTATCTCAGGCCAAATCTACAGTAGGAACAGTTTGTTGTCATAGGTATAACCCACATATTGTATTGGTAAAGTAGTAATTTTGTGGACACAGAGTTTGCTGGCAAAACTGCGGTTTTGCCAAAATAGCTTATTCAAGCCCCCTAACAAAATAAGTTCTACTGGAAAAAGCACAGTACATAACTCAGCGTTTTTGCCAACACAGTTATAATGGTCAGAGACCACAGACATAGCATCTCTGACTAACATAACTATGCCAGCAAAAGTCTTTTGTTTAGATCTAATCTCAGCAGGAAGTAGCAATTTGCACATCACCAGAAAATGTGAGTTGGAGCTAAGAAAAATAACGTTCAGACATTCATGCCTTAGTTGTGATCTTGTTTTCATTTAGTATAATATGCTCCTGGCTGGTTGAAGGTCTCATTTAAAGTGAGTTTGTGTTGGAAACTGATGGCTCAAGAAATTGATGGACTTCCAGTTCACTTGTAGTTCACTTCCAATTCACTTGTATATTAAAGCATGCCAGAGGTGCATCTGTATTTTACATTCCTAGATCTAAGAGTTCTGAACAAAGATCACAAATGAGTAAATAGCACTGTAAACATGGCAGTTCTGTAATACGATACCACCCTTTCAAGGAAAATACTTATTCTACTTTGAAGTGTAAAAAAAGTGCCTTTTTTGCTTTATTATGTATAGGGCTTCTGATTTTTGGTTTTATTCCATAAACACCCTTGACACAAATGAGCGGGGGAGGGAAGAGAAACTGGAGTTCATCCACTGAATACCAGAAAATCACCACAAATGGTTACTTGTATCTAAGGCTTGTTTACACAGAGAAGTAATGCAGACTACAGGGGAGAGATTTCTAAAGTGCACTAAACATGCTGCATGTTAACTGGTCCATGAAGATCCTGCTGCTGTGCACTTAAGGTTCCCTAGGGTGCTCTGAAGTCATGTTGTTTGAAGCATTATGTGTTAAAGCATTCTAGGGAATATTACAGTGAGATTACTCATTACAGTATACATAAGCAGAAAGCCCCTATATTTTAATATATTATATATCCACCTATATTTTATATATCTACATAAAACTTGAAAATTGCTACAAACAACCCCAAAAAACAAAAGCCCTAACTACATATAAATATCTGTAAAGTTTTCCTCAGACATTCTGCTTTTCTTTTCTTTTTTTTTTTTTAATTAAAAATCATGTTTTGCCTACTTTTCCCAGAAATACTATGGATTACTAGAGAATTAGTAGGTTTAGGATATACACCAAGAAAGTAAGCAAACCCTGTCTGAGAAGGAACGTGATTTTTATTCAGATTTGTTAACAAAAAGTTAACTATTGTTTGGAGAATGGATCTTTAACATTCAACACTTCCCTTTCAATTAAGGGTTAAAGAAAGTCCACAACCTCACTCAGACCACCAAGTTCTCTGCAAACTCAGGGAAGACCAGATCCCAATCCCAATATTTCCGAAGTGTTTGTTTTTTTAAAACAAGAACAGAACAACCCCCTTTTAGGTACACTGGGTCATTTATACAATTGAAAGAAAGAAAGAAAGAAAGAAAGAAAGAAAGGGCACAAATCTTTCTTCTTTGCAGATCAACTTTAAGGGAAAGCAACTAGAGCAATTATATACACCAAATGGTGTTTTAGGTACTAATCAAGCCCAGGACTAAGATGATATTTTTGGTATGCAAACTTAATGAGTTTACGAAGGCATGGCTGCAATATGATCTCAGCCAATAAAGTCTTTCTGTAAAGTGCATCCTATATGGAAAGATCAAAGAGACTTCACAAGCTATTCATATTCGAATCATTCCCTCTCATTCTCTTACGTCAATATCATTCAGACACAAATACATTGGGCAGAGAAAATAGCAGCTCTTCAACAGTGAATATCAGGACTACACAACAATTTGATAGGGAAAGAAAAGCATAAATTTTATGTTAAAAAACATGAAGTTTTAGTTAGGCACAATTTAGTTCCAAAATTGGAATTTGACCAGGACCCTTGGTATTAACACCACTCTTTAATTACTTCAGTTGTGTAGACTATTCAAAAGCGGCACTTCAGCTGGTGAAATCTGATCAGACACAATCAGAAGTGGTTCTGCTGCTTTAGAATCAGAGGAGTAGCCTTGTTAGTCTGTATCCACAAAAACAACGAGGAGTCCGGTGGCACCTTAAAGACCAACAGATTTATTTGGGCATAAGCTTTCGTGGGTAAAAATGTTGCATCTGAAGAAGTGGGTTTTTTACCCACGAAAGCTTATGCCCAAATAAATCTGTTAGCCTTGAAGGTGCCACTGGACTCCTTGTTGTTTTTGCTGCTTCAGAGAATTTCATGTGTACCAGCTAAATCAGCACATACACAAAGAAAATGAAAAGGCTTCTTACTGAACTAGATGTTTCCACAGGGCTTCTGCACCGGGCTGGAGAAATATCTATTGAACATAGCACTCCAAGTGATGCTGGTGGATTATTACAAGGGCTTTGTGGAGAAAGAGACAAACACTCAGATACACTTCCATTCTCATCTAAAAACAGCTTTCTTCTCAGTGATGAGGAGCTTAGGCTTTCCTGAGACTGGTCTGCAAATTCTTCTGTTCTAAAATATTCACCTAAAGAAAAAAGAAAAAGTTTGTTGGCAAGTTTAATTAGCCAGTTTTGTCTTATTTCTCCTGTCTACAGAAAAAGTATGGGGGAACAAAGGGGACAAGGACCTCGTCTGCACAATCATAAACAGCCACTGAATTCTGTAACTGCTGAAATTGTTAATAATATTTTAGCCATGCTGTGGGCATTAGACTAAGCAGTGTTATAACAAGGTTAATATAAAGTCAGGGCTTTCCCCCCATAAACGCTGGGTTTATTAAAATTTGCTGTAATGTGATTTTTCCCACACATGGAAGATGGTCCAAATGTATCAACCCCAGTTCAGTCATGACAATGTTGAATAGTTTCTGTTAAACTATTCTGCTTGTGTGGACAAGGCTTTTCGGACAGCTGCCATTTCAAATGATCATGCTTACAGAACTCCCATAGAATCATAGGACTGGAAGGGACCTCGAGAGGTCATCTAGTCCAGTCCCCTGCACTTATGACAGGACTTAGTATTATCTAGACCATCCCTGATTGTCCAACCTGTATGCAGTGGAATGCACATTCTGGCCATCTTACCCAAGAAAAGATGTACAGGCAGGAAGTACCCAGCCAGAAGGCTGGAAACTCTTCTGAACGGAAGACTGAATCAAGTCTGTCTAACAGAAGTATCATTAAGGATGCAATCAGTATTTTCCTCCCTATTACCATGTTCTAGTGCAGGGCTTCTCAAACTGGGGGTCGGCACCCCTCAGGGGGTCCACGAGGTTATTCCAGGGGGGGTTGCAAGCTGTCAGCCTCCACCCGAAACCCTGCTTTGCCTCCAGCATTTATAATGGTGTTAAATATATAAAAAGTGTTTTTAATTTGTAAGGGGAGGGGGGAAGGGGTTGCACTCAGAGGCTTGCTATGTGAAAGGGGTCACCAGTAAAAGTTTGAGAAGCACTGAAGTGCAAAGCGGAGGTGGTGACAGATAAAATTTAAGAGCCACTTTGTGGAGTTCTATCAGAGATAAACCATTTTCTATCAGGCTCCCTTTCTCAAAAGAGAAGGGTAAGTCCCACCCCATTCACCAATGTAGTTCAGCAATGGGATGGAGTCACAAAACCATGGTAGACATAGAGACTGGTAATTTTATTTGTAATAAGCTGAAAATTCTAAATATTCCATCCAGTGTGTTGCTATGGGTTGAAAGCCCCACCACCAGATGACAGACTGAAAGAAATATTCTGCACCTATAAGCTGGCTCCTCCCTCTGCTCCTTGGGTCCTGCACCATCTCTCCTTGCAGTGGCTGGGTCATGCTTTGTAGCAACGCCGAAGGAAAAACGGTTACTCACCTTCTCGTAACTGTTGTTCTTCAAGATGTGTTGTTCACGTCCATTCCAAATCAGGTGTGTGCACGCCGCGTGCACGGTCACTGGAAAGTTTTTCCCCTAGCAGTTCCCGTCGAGTCAGCTGGGGAGCCCCTCGGTGGCACCTTCCTGGCACTCAATATATGACCCTGCCGACCCGACCCCCTTCAGTTCCTTCTTACCGTCCATCACGGCCGCTGGAACTGTGGCTCGCTTGCTTTGCAAGTCCTCCCTTAGTGCAGTTATCTAGTCTAGTTGTTCTTCTTGTTTTCTAGTTGTTTGCTGATAGTATAGTTATAGTTAATATAAGTGTTTGTGAGCGGGATCTTTCCCGGTCCCCTTACCCCTTCTTGAGCTCTGGGGCATGCCGCAAGGCTTTAAGTCTTGCAGCGTATGCCACAAGCCCATGCCAAATAATGGCCTCCCGGACTCTCGCCTGAGGTGTCTGTGCGTGCACACCTGATTGGAATCGACGTGAACAAGCACTCAAAGAACTATTCTTGGTAAAAGCACTCCATCTGTAAAAATCAGGATGCTGGGATGAGGTTGAATTGCATTTTTTTGTTGTGCTGTTTCTCACTTACTTTTTCCCTATGAGCTGTTTGTGTCAGTCACACAGTGGATGTGACCAGGAAGTAGTAACTCATGAATTATGTGGCCCCAACTAGAGGTAAAGGGAATAAGATGGACTGGTCTAGAATAGCTTATTGAGCTCTTCCTACCCAAGTTCTGTTACATAACTCCTGCTTTTTAAGTATTTCACAAAAAGCAAACATTTCCTTTAGATAGGTCAGTGTGCAGTGCAGATAGTATGCACAGTCTTCCTAGTCTGTGTAGCCTAGGAAAGCATGGATATTTTCTTTTGATTCAAGACCTGTGGTCTTCCATTATACCAATGATAAACATGAGGTTACTGTATGCAGTTTTTAAATTCCTGCAAAATGGTCATGCAAACCCAATCTAGCAATTGAGACTATTAGGCTTCCATAGCTAACTTCCAAGCCAGTCTACATTATGAATGCTGGCCCATACTTTAACATACTATCTTTTAAAATATAGCAATACAATGTTTATGTACACTCATCATTGTCCTACCATTCACCATCCCTCCACCTTTTGTTTCTTGTCCTCCCTTGCTGAGCCATGTCTAAATTAGAGCAGGAGCTCCACAGGACAAGGAGCGGTTATCGGTCCAAAACAACATTTGTACTTTGGGCAATTCTATGAATACTCAATTTTGAATCACACTAGGTTTCCAGTGCATTGTATCTCCATTCCTAATCAGCATGCAAAATAGATTTTCAATTTAGACATTCATACATAAAGTACAACACGACATACCTAATATTTTTTCTAAGTTAAAATCCACAGGCAAAGACAATACTGTCTGACAAGCAGCTGCAATGAATAAAAACAATGAAATTAGCCTACAGTAACTTAGTCAACTAGTGCAAGTAAAAAGTTTAACTTTAAATTGTATTTAACACATAGCTAGTTAAATTAGTGAAACACAATGTGTTGCCATGAGGAAAAGGGAAAAACTTATAGGCCTGGGGTCCTGAATTGGCTACAGTGTATGGAGCAAATCAGGCTCAGGGATAAGTGAAAAGGGTTGTTACACACAAGCTCTCCAGATGGCACCATATCCAGCCACACCTTAGCTGGGGGAAAGGCATTTAAAAAAAAAAAAAAAAATCAAGCAAGAAAAATCAATGTAATACCCTGAAAATTGTGTGTTTATGTACAGGTTTCAGAAAATAGTTTCTGTGACCTCGTACAAAATGGAGGGGAGAGGATGTCAAAGAATCTTTATATTATAATGTAATTAAGTTAGTATGTAATTTGGGCTTCAAAGCATAAACAGAACTTTACGTGTAATACTACATGTAGTCACATGTAGAACACATTTATTCCTAGACAAACAGTAACATAAATACCTTGCTGAATTGGGGCCTAAATATATGCCTAACTTTAAGCACTAAGTCGTCCCATTAAATGAGACTACTCATGTGCTTAAAGATAGGTAAGTGCTCAAGCACCCTGGCAGTATTGAAGCCTAACAAACTTGTTTTTAAAAAGGAGTTCAGTTAGCTTAAATAAAAACTTCTTATATTCCTTTGAGTGCATGTTCATTTTGTCACTTGATACTGTTTTATACCAACCATTGCTTTTTCCAGGTTGCACAGTTAGCTGTCTTCCAATCGGTGAAATGTTATTTAAATCTATACCTGTAAAGCATCATTTAGATAAATTCAGTTAAAACTTAAATTAAAGCTTTTTACCATTCTGAAACATAACAGTTAATCCGATTGTATTGAGGAACTTCTCAAAAATAGTTAGCTACAATAAAATATTGTAATCCTTTAGTTTACATCAAACCAAAATATTTTCAGAGAATAAAACTAGAACATGATTTTTGCAACTAAGTTTGGGACAGAGTAAAAAAAACAAACCTAGAGAGATAAGTGTCAGAGAAGCCAGAGAGAGGTTATATCAGTTTTTCTGACCAGCTTACGTTGTAAGAGTTTTCCATCAGAAAATGCAATTCAATTGAAATCTAAAAGCTTGTCAAATTATGTTGATATTGCCAACATACTGTTATTTTTTGGGGGGGACGGGGGCGGAGGAAGGGGACACAAGTGAAAAAGTTATTATAGTGTTAAAAGGCCATTCATGACATTTTGGGAATGAAAAGCTTCAATTTTTCTTTTCAAATTGATGGTTTTGAAATTTATTTTGGATTATGTTATACTAAAAAAATCAAAACTATACGTTTTGATCATTTTTTTAAATTACTCAATTCTAAAAAATTTGGTGTGTTCAATAAAATGTAAGAGTCTGTTCAATTTTCCTAGTCAATATAATTATGCTTGTTTTGTGAAAGGGAGAAAGAAGCAAAAAGGTAATTCCAATTATTACAGTGAAATTTAGGTAATGAGAATATAATTGAGACAAAGTATTACCATGAGATCAGAGCTAGGATGAAGTTCACAGGAACTGAAAAAAAACATGAAGCCTAACTTTTTAGGCAAAATCCTGGTCCCACTTAAGTGAGTGTTCCCATCTAGTCACGCTGTCTATAACTTAAAAAAGTTAAACATATACATATTAAACATGCAAAACAGCTGATTTCTAAATTTAAGCTACTAAAAGACACCTTTAGAAACATACACAACTTACATTTAGTGGAATGAAACTGGGAAACTTGCTTCCCTTCATGATCAGTCCAAGGAGAGGGAACGATAAGACTTTTGGTGAAAAACTAGAGGAAAAAACATAACAATTAGATACTCCCAAACATTAAGATTATCTACTTAATTTTATAAATATGTATTTGCAAGCAACTAGTTGTAAAATCTTGAGTTTTGATTCTTATGGGCATGTTTAACATAGCCAAGATTAATCAAAATTCACCTTGGAACAGCTGATAGCTTTCTATCAGATTTCTTCAGCCACTTATTTTCAAATTCCCTCTCTGAGATACAGCCCAAAACAACACAATTTCAGTTCAAATTAGTGTGGCTGGAAGATATTTTAAAAAGCCATCCATTGTTAAGAAAAAGGTTAACATTTTGAAGCGCCCCATCTTTTTCGAATTCCACAAGTATACTGATACATATACCATGTTAGCTTTGACAAAGCTTTCTTCACACATCTGTATTAACATACTCAATGCTGGTGTCTCAAACATGTCTCATTACTCCAGCAGAGTGATTAGATTTTAAGAGGTCCCATGTACTTTACAGCAAGCTGGAACTAAGTTCTGAGGCAATATAGTGCAGCAGAATGGAAATCACATTTTCAGTACACCACAGTTTTGTACTGACAATTCGGACGCTTTGTAGAAGCAATCAAGAGGAAATTGAAGTTGTTATTGAAGATGAATATGTGGTGACTGTTGGGGCTTTTGGCACCTTGGAAGACATTTAGGATCATAGAAATAAGCATATTTATGACAGGTTCCTGCTAAAAGTTAACAGTACTTGACACTCAAATCATCACTGTTAGGTTTGGATTTTGGAAATGCTCAGATATAAAAGGTGATGGAGGTCATTATAAAAACCTGGATAAACAAGGGAGAAATTCTCCCACCCTAACCAATACTAGCAAGACCCAAAACACAGTCAAAAGGAAAACTGGAGTAACTGGACTTCTTTGAGAAGTGCTGACCGTATATTCCATTAACAGTGCACAGGTTTCAGAGTAACAGCCGTGTTAGTCTGTATTCACAAAAAGAAAAGGAGTACTTGTGGCACCTTAGAGACTAACCAATTTATTTGAGCATAAGCTTTCGTGAGCTACAGCTCACTTCATCAGATGCACACTGTGGAAAGTGTAGAAGATTTTTTATATACACACAAAGCATGAAAAAATACCTCCTCCCACCCCACTCTCCTGCTGGTAATAGCTTATCTAAAGTGATAGAGTGATCACTTTATTCAACTTATATCGACTCACAAGCAATGAATCAAAGCAATGGGGGTGGGAGCTCGGAGTTTAGGAACATAAAGATTGGAATAGAGCTTTCCCAACTGTAGTTATCAGATCTCGAGGCTTCAGCGACAGAATAGTGCTTCACAAATGTGTGAAGAAGATATTCTGGTAGTTGCTTTACATATGTCCAAAACAAACATTTTTCAAAGATGCTGCGGAAGTTGAAAGAAAGTAGGAGGATCTACTTTAGCCACCTCATAAAAGTCAGATATCTGTCTAGATCAGTGGTTCCCAACCTTGTTCCGCCACTTGTGCAGGGAAAGCCCTTGGCAGGCTGGGTGGTTTGTTTACCTGCCGCGTCTGCAAGTTCAGCCGATCGCGGCTCCCAGTGGCAGCAGTTCGCGGCTCCCAGTGGCTGCAGTTCGCGGCTCCAGACCAATGGGAGCTGCTGGAAGCGGCGCGGGCTGAGAGACGTACTGGCCTTTGTGGCAAAACAGGTCTTTCACCATTCCTGCTACTGCCATAAATCATTTTGGAGTAGATCTCTGAAAAGGTTTAATATTTTGCTAGTAGAATGCCAATGCTCTCAGACATCCAAATATGAAACACAGCCTCTCTTAGAAGAGCATAGCCTAGGGGGCAAAATGCGGGCAGGTGAATCTCTTGGTTCAGATGAAAATTCATAGTAATTTCAGGAAGAAACTTGGGATGCATCCTGAGGGATATTTCATCTGGATAGAAAACTGTATAAGGTGAGTCCACCATCAAGGTGTGGATTTTACCAACTCTTCACATTCAATCACAACTAATCACATTCAAAGGTGCCATTTCCGTGGACAGATGTAATAACAAACTGCCTTGGACTTAAAAGGGGGGCGCATTAGGACAGATAAGACCTAATTAAGGTCCCCTATAGAGTGATTCTTTGTTGGAAAATACCCTGATAAGATCAATCACAAACCTTATAATACTCATGTGAGAAAAAATTGTCTCCCCCTCTACAGGAGAGGGATGCACAGAGGTGAACACTGATGAAGCTTATTGAAAGATGTTTTAGGTCAAGTATGTATTATAAAACATCATGAATCAGCATCCTGTGGAATTAGAGATCTCTCCTGCTACCAAGAGGAAAAATCTCTTCCATTTTGATGAGTAGGTTGAACTTGTAGAATCTTTTCCACAGTATAATATGTTGGGATTTTGTGTGTGTGTGTGTGTGTGTGTGTGTGTTTTAAAGCAGATGTACAACAGGACTTTTCTAAGTCTAACCTCCATCCAGCAGACAGGTGATGAAATGGAGATACTCTAGGTCCAGTTCCTTCGTGTTGCATCAGCCAGTATGGAATTAGAGATAATGTCTTTGGTTGGTAGACTAAAAGATTCAGTATGCTGGGGTACCAAAATCATCTCAGCCATGCTGATGCAATTAAGATAATTTTCGCCGAGTCCTGCTGGATCTTGCATCAGACTGTTGGGATCAACAGAACTTGTGGGTATGCATAAATTATAGTCCACAACCACAAAAATCGGAAAGATATCTGAAAGTGAGCCTGAGGTGATGTCAGGACTTCAGTTCAAGAGGGGATACTTGTTGCTTCTATCTGTTGCAAATCTGTCTACTAGAGGATAACCCCATCCCAAGAGGATGTTGCAAAGGACCAAGTCCTTGATCTCCTACACGTGATGGGAGAGTTGCCTGCCAAGAGGGAGATTCAATGTCTGATACACCAGTTCCATAACCTGATTGCCTCTTGGCATAATGGAGGAGATTTCCCCCCGCACCCCTTTCTCTGGTTATGTAAACATGGTTGTTGTAATGCCAATCATAATTTGGACTGATTGTCTTCTTGAATGTTACAAAAGCACACAAGCCTTTGTCCAATATGTCCAAGCAGAACAGGACATGCCCTTACTGTGGTGTTTGGATTCAATTTTATCCAGAGCTATTGAGGCAGACATGTTCTCGAACCTATCTTGAGGTAGACACTGTGGCCTTTATGGAGTCTAGGATTGGTCATATGAGCTCCACTCTTGGAATTGGTATTAACTTGCATTTCTCCATGCTGAATTTTGGGCCAAGAGTGGTTAATGGCTCAAGAACACAATGAATAGCATCTCTCACCTTAAAAGTTTTTTTTCAAACTAACCACTTGTCTAGGTATGGGTTGACTATTATATTTCTTAAGTGCACTGGAACCACTGCCAACACTTTTGTAAAAACTCTCAGCACTGCAGAGCATCCAAAGGGTGAAAACACAATTATGAAAGTGTTCCTGACCACTAGGAATCTTAAGTACTTCATATGAGTGGAATTATTGAAATACGGAAGTTCATATCATGTGAGTCAAGGGATAAAAATCAAGTCCCCAGGATTTAGAGGGGAAATTATGGAAGCTAGCATGGTCATCCTGCACTTTATTTTGTGAATTAAGATGTTTAATTTTCATAAATCTAAGATGGGATGCCATCCTCTCTTCTTTTCTGGAATGAAGTAGTATTTGAAATAGAGTCCCTTTTCTTGGTATTGAGACGGAACTCTTTCTACTGGTCCGAGAGATAGAAGTGAGAGGGCTTCCTGCTGTAACAGTCCCTTGTGAGATATGTCCCTCAAGAAGACCAAAGGTAGGCACAGTGTGGAACTTGATATCCTGTGTAACTGTCTCTAGTACCCATTGGTCTGAAAATACAGAAGGCCACATGTGCCTGAAGGAACTCAAATTGTTGATGAAAGTAGGAGTAGAAAGTTCTGGGTCTTTGGAAGCAATATCATGTTCCTCTACTAACTTGTCAAAACAAGTGATTCAGGCCAATGTAGACCGTTACAAACGTGCAGTGACAAACATGGAGAATAGTCTCTTTATGGAAATGCTGCCTCTTGTTAGATGGTTCTGAAGGTTTCTGATGAAAACAATGGAAGTAATGGTACATATATCCATGAAGAGTAACTATTGTCTCACATGCTTCCTCTTAAGGGCCTGAGTATAGACCTTAGGGGAGTACGAAGGGCTTTAATTAAGTCCTGCTCCTCAAAGCAGATTCCCTATAGCAGGCTGAACCTCCAGTGGGAAGCCAGACTTTTGAAGCCACGAGGCTCTTTTCATTACCACTGCTATGGCCATGCATCTTAAGGCACATCTACTGCGTCAAGTTCAGCTTTCAGATGAGTCCTGGCCATTAACTGACCTTCAGTCACCAGGGAAGAAAATTCTTCCATAACATCCGGAGGGAGCTTACCTACAAACATCAAGATCTTTTCAATTCAAAAAAATCATATCTGGCCAACAGGGCCTGGTAATTTCAATTACAAATTGCAAGATAGCTGATAAATGCAATTTAAGACTGACTAAATCTATATTTTTTTTAGTTTACTTTCTTTTGTTGTTGTGTATTTTATGTTCTCGATTTCCCATTTGTGGGTGTAACCACTAGTGACCCTGGTACAGGATGTGAACAGAAAAACAGAGCCCCGGGGAAGGGACATGCATCCCAAAAAAGCGGGTGAGAAATGCCAAGGACTTCTGCAGAAGAAATCTTATTCTTACTAGGTCCATTACAGCCTCATTAATTGGGAGTGCTATTTTCTCTCAGATAGAGGACTGAAGAATGTTAATTAGTGGTGGATTACTGCACCTCCTCAACAGGTTTCTGTAAAGAGCCAGCTACCCTTGCAAGAAGGTCCTGAAACCCTTTAAAATTGTCCGTATATCATGTGATAGGTGGGTCTACAGCCTCAGTCAGAGATAAGGAAAAAATGGTAGGTCCCAGTATGTCAGCTGAATTTGGTGGATGCTACTCACTGGGTTCCTCAGTTTGAGCAGATTGAGAGGA